CCCAGTGCAGCACCCCCACTGCATCACCCCCACTGCAGCAGCCCCAGTGCAGCACCCTCACTGCAGCATCCCCACTGCATCACCCCCACTGCAGCAGCCCCAGTGCAGCACCCCCACTGCATCACCCTCCCTGCAGCACCCCCACTGCAGCACCCTCACTGCAGCACCCCCACTGCAGCAGCCCCACTGCAGCACCCCGAGAGCAGCAGCCCCAGTGCAGCACCCCCACTGCAGCAGCCGCACTGCATCACCCTCACTGCATCACCCTCACTGCATCACCCCCACTGCAGCAGCCCCAGTGCAGCACCCTCACTGCAGCAGCCCCAGTGCAGCACCCCCACTGCAGCACCCTCACTGCAGCAGCCCCACTGCAGCACCCCCACTGCAGCACCCCCACTGCAGCACCCCCACTGCAGCACCCTCACTGCAGCCCCAGTGAAACCTGCTCAGCCAGGGGTGAAACACTTCGAGGCTCACCCTCGCCATGGGCACCCCACGCTCCAGGAACCACTTTGGAGCTGGGATTTCTGCCACCCGCGCCTGATGACAGCGCCTCAGGCAAAGGAGAAACCTGCCCTGGATGGAGAGACCCAAACTGAAGTCAGACCGAGCCCTGCAGCTCCGCTCCCGTTCCCCTTTGCTTCCCCCAGCTTGCAACGATGGCATTCAGACTGGGATGAGCTACTGCAAACTCATTCATGGTGGTGGAGCGACCAGTTAAGGACTGGTGTGATGTGCTGGGAGTGATGCTGGGGACACTGAGCTCCACACTGCCTTTATTGCTTAAATACTGGTGATGCAGAAGCTGGGCACATTATGGATGCAGTGAGGTTTTGTGGGGCGGACGGGTGCTCACTTGGCAAGGAACAGCGCTCCAATGGTGCTCCAGTGGTGCTCCGATGGTTGGACTTAATGATCTTAAAGATCTTATTTTGATTCTAGGATTCAGTGCTGGTGCTCCAATGATGCTCCAATGGTGCCCCAAAGGTGCTCTGATGATGCTCCAATGGTGTCCCAAAGGTGCTCTGATGATGCTCCGATGGTGCCCCAAAGGTGCTCTGATGATGCTGCAATGGTGTCCCAAAGGTGCTCTGGTGATGCTCCAATGGTGCCCCAAAGGTGCTCTGATGATGCTCCAATGGTGCCCCAAAGGTGCTCTGATGATGCTCCGATGGTGCCCCAAAGGTGCTCTGATGATGCTCCGATGGTGTCCCAAAGGGCTCTGATGCTGCTCCGATGGTGCCCCAAAGGTGCTCTGATGATGCTCCGATGGTGCCCCAAAGGTGCTCTGATGATGCTCCAATGGTGCCCCAGTGGTGCTCTGATGCTGCTCCGATGGTGCCCCAGTGGTGCTCTGATGCTGCTCCGATGGTGCCCCAAAGGTGCTCTGATGATGCTCCGATGGTGCCCCAAAGGGCTCTGATGCTGCTCCGATGGTGCCCCAAAGGGCTCTGATGATGCTCCGATGGTGCCCCAAAGGGCTCTGATGATGCTCCGATGGTGCCCCAGTGGTGCTCTGATGATGCTGCTATGGTGCCCCAAAGGTGCTCTGATGCTGCTCCAATGGTGCCCCAGTGGTGCTCTGATGATGCTCCGATGGTGCCCCAGTGGTGCTCTGATGATGCTGCTATGGTGCCCCAAAGGTGCTCTGATGCTGCTCCGATGGTGCCCCAAAGGTGCTCTGATGATGCTCCGATGGTGCCCCAAAGGGCTCTGATGCTGCTCCGATGGTGCCCCAAAGGGCTCTGATGCTGCTCTGACAGCTCCTTGGCACAGCCGCAGGCCGTGGCTCTCACCGGGTGCCCTCTGTGTGAACTTCCTGCCCCACGGAACCGCAGGGCTGTGAGGGGCAGGAAGTTCCGACAGATCCTGCTCCCGCTGGCACCGCAATGGGGCCTCACCTGAAGCAAACCACATCATCCCCGGTGCAGCCCAACGCCACACGGCCCAGCCAGCCCCAGTGCCCCAGGAGGCGCCGGGGGTGCTGAAACCCGCACTGGGGCCAGGAGAGCAGCCGTGCTGTGCCCAAGCCCTCCCCGTTGCTCCCCAGCACAGGAAGGCACGTGGATGGGTGCTGGTGCCAGAGGCACATGCAGTAAACAGGGGTTCGAGGCACTGCTCCAGGTGACACCACAGCAGCTGCACCAGGCCAGGGCTGTGAGAGCTCTGCTGGGGACCAGGAGGATGCTGCCGGAGCCACATCTCCTGTGGCCACCTCAGGCGCTGCTGTTGGAGGGCCAGCGGGGAGCTGCTGTTTGTGACCAACTGCAGTGAGCACTGCAAAGAGAAGAGAAGAGATGACACCGTTCCGAGAGCCTCAGAACCACAGTGGGTTGGGTTGAAGGGACCTTAGAGCTCCTCCAGCTCCAACCCCTGCCAGGGCAGGGACCCCTTCCACTGGAGCAGCTTGCTCCAAGCCCCTGTGTCCAACCTGGCCTTGAGCACTGCCAGGGATGGGGCAGCCACAGCTTCTCTGGGCACCCTGTGCCAGCGCCTCAGCACCCTCACAGGGAAGAGCTTCTGCCTAAGAGCTCAGCTCAGTCTCCCCTCGGGCAGGTTCAAGCCATTCCCCTTGCCCTGTCCCTACAGGCCCTTGTCCCAAGCCCCTCTCCAGGTTTCCTGTTGGCCCCCTTAGGCCTTCCTCTCCTTTCCTCCTGCTCTCCAAAGCCTGAATGCACCGGGGTTAAATGCAGCGGGCTGCCAGATGCTGCCTGCCCTGAGAGAGATAAAGCCCTGGATGTAAGGCAGATTGACCGAGCCAGGCTCCTCAGAGCCACCCCCGGCTCCTGGGCCTGGGCTGAGCCGGGCTGGTGGCTGCCGACACCTCCCCAGGGAAGGGACAAGGAAGGAGAATTGAAAAGGGGGGTCTGGAATCAAGCTTGGAGGGGTCTCTGCAAACCCGTCTCTATCCCACTTGTGGGTCTGTCCTGGGAACGGTGTCCCCATGGGGCTGGGCTCTCACAGGGGCTCCTGGTGTCCCCATGGCTGCGTCCCCATGGCTGTGACCACGGGGGTGTTGGCAGGGGCCGCTGCCGAGCTCTCCCCACTGCGGGCATGGGCTGGAGCCTTTGCTGCCAACGTAACCGAAACCCTGGGGAGTGGAAAACCCCCGGGCAGGGAGGAGACCTGCAGCGGGCTCGGGCCAGCCCCAGCGCTGCCTCTGCCCCGGGGGGCTCTGGGGCTGCCCGGGGGCATTCGGCTCCCGGCGCTCCCAGCAGCGGCGGTGACACCGCGGTGAGGGGCACCGGGCGCAGGAGCCGCCCTGCGGGGGCAGGGGGCACCGGGATCCAGCCGGGAAAAGGATCCACCCCATGGAAACAGCAGGAGGAAATGAGGAACCCCCACCCCAGATGCACGGCTTGAAGGTGCCTCCTTCCCAGCAGTGCCACAGCCATGGTGCGGCAACGCTTCCAGAGCAAAACACAGGCACCCTTGGGATTGAAAAGGGCTGTTTCATGGCCAAGAGCCGGCCGCGGGGGCAGGGCAGCAGCTGAATCCCATTCCTCCCCATCCAGAAGGAGCAAGGAAACGGGATTTTTCGGCTCGGGCAGGCAAAACCGATCAGTGTGAACCTGGGGCATTTTCCAGGTCTGTGAGCAGGGAGAACAGAACCCAAGGCACGTTCCAGCTCCAGCGGCTGCCGGGGTCTGTGTGCAGGGTGAGGTCGGCTTTCAATGGGAACGCACGGCCCTGCCGCAGCCGCTACGGCTGCGCCGCGGCAGAGGCTCCCTGCGGGGCGGCAGCACCGGTAACGGCGCTCCCGGGGCGCTCCCGGTGCCTTGCTCTCCCCCGTCATTTGTGTCTGTTCCCAGAGCCCGGGGAACCCTGGTTCACCCCATCCCACGGGGACGCTCCCCAGGGCCGGGGGATGCGGGGAGGGCGCGGGACCCCTCGTTCCGCTCCATGCGGCCATGGGGGTGCGGGTCCCCCCGCCTCGGCCTGGCCAGGGCGCCCCTCGGGGTGGGGATGTTGCTCCCCACCGCCGCCGCCGCCGCCGTCTCCATGTCTCCATCGCTCCGGCGGCTCCGCATCCCGCTCTCCTGTTGCTCAGGGATGTGGAGGCAGTTGCTAAGAGACACCGAAACGTCAGTATCTGGCCCTCAAGGAAAAAAAAGAGAAAGAGAGAGACAAGGGAGGACGAGGAGGAGGAGGGGAGGAAGGAGGTGGGGAAAGACCCTGCTCCCATTGCCAGGCTCGGCAGCAGCCTTGGCCGCGGCTGCAGGAGCCGCTCGCCCAACTTGGCGGCCTCCGGGGCGAGGGCGGCAGCCCGGGACCACCCCCCCCCCCCGCCCCGGCCACGCATCAGCGCCCAGGCCTCAAGGAACCGAGCGCTGCTCATCCCCTGGTGTGAGTACCCGGGGCTGGAGCGGGGGCCGGGCAGGGAGGGGGTGGCCGGGGCGGTGGTGACCATCCTGCCCCCGTGAGATGGGGCCATGGGGCGGGGATGGGGCTGAGGGGGATAACGGCGAGGGAGGATGGAGCAAAGATGGCCATGGGGAGGGGGGCGAGAGCAGGCCGGGATGGGGACCCCGGGAGGGTGCCGTGGAGGGGGGTCCCCAGCGGGGGGGTGGGGGCCGCGCACCGGGGCCCCCCCGGTTCTGGCCACTGCAACGTGGAGCTGAGCGATGTCAGCGGGGCTGGGGCTCTGCTTCGGCTGAAACCCCCACGGGGGGGCTGGAGGAGCGGGCGGCCCCGGCATGGGGGGCACGGGGGGGCTGCAGGTGCCCCGCAGGGCTGCAGGGGCCGCGGCCCCCCGCTTCCTCCGGCCCCTCTTCCTCGCAGGCAGCGTAACCGCCCGGACAAGGCCCGCCCCGGGGCCCGGGGCCCGCAGCCCGCGGTGCCCCCCGGATGCGGCCGGCATGGCCGGAGCATCGCTGTGAGCGCCCGGCGCCCGGCCCTGCTCCCCGCGCCCGGCGGCTCTCGGCGTGAGCGGCCCCGTCCCGGTGCCGGGATGGCTCCCGCCGCCCCGTGAGGGCCCGGGCCTCGCCGGCGCCCGCCGGGCTGTGTCTCGCCGCCGCCCCGCCATGCTGCTGGGCCCCTGGCTGGTGGCGGCGGCGGCGGCGGCGGTGGCGGCGGGCGCCGGGGCGGGCTGCCCGGTGCTGTGCACGTGCCGCGGGCAGGCTGTGGACTGCAGCGGGCAGCGCCTCTTCTCGGTGCCGCCGGAGCTGCCGCTGGACACCGGGAACCTGAGCCTGGCGCACAACCGCATCGCCAGCATCCCCCCGGGGTACCTGTCCTGCTACGGGCAGCTCCGCGCCCTCGACCTGCGCAACAACTCCCTGGCGGCGCTGCCGGCCGGGCTCTTCCTGGGCGCCCGGCGCCTGGCGCACCTCGACCTCAGCTACAACAACTTCAGCCTGGTGCCCGCGGACACGTTCCTGGAGGCCAGCGGGCTCCTGCGCCTCGACCTCAGCCACAACCCGGGGCTGCGCCGCGTCCACCCCGACGCCTTCCGCGGGCTGGCGCAGCTGCGGGAGCTGGACCTCAGCTTCGGGGCGCTGCCGGCGCTCAGCCTGGAGGCGCTGGAGGGGCTGCCGGGGCTGGTGGCCCTGCGCCTGGGGGGCAACCCCTGGGTGTGCGGCTGCGCCATGGAGCCCTTCCTCAAGTGGCTGCGGGGCCGCATCCAGCGCTGCGCTGCCGGTAGGTGCCCGCGCGTCCCCGCTCCTGCCCCATGCACCAGGGGGGAGCCGAGCGCGGTCCTGATGCCGTGTCCCCCCCTCTCAGAGTCGCAGCTGGCCGAGTGCCGGGCCCCCCCTGAGGTGGCCGGAGCCCCCCTGCTCTCGCTGACGGACGAGAGCTTCCAGGCCTGCCACCTCACGCTCACGCTGGATGATTATCTCTTCATCGCCTTCGTCGGCTTCGTCGTCTCCATCGCCTCGGTGGCCACCAACTTCCTGCTGGGCATCACCGCCAACTGCTGCCACCGCTGGAGCAAGGCCAGCGAGGACGAGGACGTTTAGGTACCGCCGACGTCCCCCTGACCCCGCCGGGACCCCAGACTGTGCCTTGTCCGTGTCCCCTCCCGCGCCGGGGTGGCCTCAAGACGCTGGCCTGGCGGTGGCGGGGGGACCAGGGGACACCTCCTCTTTGTTCTGCCCCAGTGCGGGGGGGGTTTGTCCCCGTGGGCACCCGGCAGGATTGACCCCCTCCAGCACCCGGAGCTTGGACTCTGCTGTCCCCGCTACCCAGGGCCGGTGAAGGCAGCGGCACAGGGTCCTTGGGGGTCCCATGGGAGCCTCCACACTGTGCCAGGCAGTGGGACCAGGGGCTGTGACTGGGGAGCAGCCCCCCCTGCTTGGGAGAGAGACCCCAGAAGTGGTGTGTGCCTTGGGGGGACACCAACCACCCTCCATGGGGGACATCCAAGGAAACCCCCGCTTCCAGCCCAAAAGCATCATCAGTGGAGCCCCCCCGAATCCTGCCTGGCCCCAGGACCTGGAGCCGTCACCCAGCTCAGCACTGCCGCTCCCGGGGGACGCCTGCGCCTTGCCGGTGGCACCGGACGGGCCAGGACAGCACCGGGGCCGCCGTGCCCCAGGCGGGAGCATCCCTCGGTCCCTGCCTTTCTCTTCCGAGGTTTCGGTGCCAAACTGGGCCCTGGGCTCCGCGCGGCGGCTGCGGGGAGGGGACCGCAGGTCCCAGCACAAGGGGGCCGGGGGGGGGCTCAGCACCTCCCGCGGGGCTGCCTGGGGTGAGAGGGGTGGGAGGGGGGTGCAGCTTCAAACCAAACCCCCCCCCAAAGACAGGAGGAAAGGGGGGACCAGGCGAGGCGGTGCCACCCCCCGGGCCCCCGCTGCCAGCAGGAGGCTGCGGTGTCCCTGCGGTGCTGTGCCCAGCACAGCTCCCCCCGCCCGCCCCACAGCCAGGCCCGCGCCTGCACCCCAAGGACAAAGGGCGGGGAGCGCCGGGTTCTGCCGGTGTCTGAGTGCCGGCCCCACGGGTGTCCCCACGGCACGGCCACCTCCTGCCCTGCCCCGGCCTCCCGCTTCTGCCCTGCCCTCACCATCGCCCTGCTCCTCCTGTCCTCTTGTTTCTAGTTTCTTCTTTTTCTCTTACTGCTTTTCTATCTCTTTATCCTTTGCTTTTCCCTTCCTTTCCTTTCCTTTCCTTTCCTTCCCTTCCTTTCCTTTCCTTTCCTTTCCTTTCCTTTCCTTTCCTTTCCTTTCCTTTCCTTTCCTTTCCTTTCCTTTCCTTTCCTTTCCTTTCCTTTCCTTTCCTTTCCTTTCCTTTCCTTTCCTTTCCTTTCCTTTCCTTTCCTTTCCTTTCCTTTCCTTTCCTTTCCTTTCCTTTCCTTTCCTTTCCTTCCCTTCCCTTCCCTTCCCTTCCCTTCCCTTCCCTTCCCTTTCCTTCCTCCTTTCCTTTCCTCTTTTGTTCTTCGCATCTTACTGACATTTTATTTTGATTTAATTGAATTATTTTACTTTATTTCTTGTTTTCTCCCCCTCTCTCCTCTTCCCTCCTCCCTTCCCCTCCTCTCCACGCTCCGGCGGGCGCGGGGGGGGACGGGGGAGGCCGAACCCCCCCGGTCTTTGTACGAGCACATTTTATAACCGTGGACTTTTGTAACCGGCAGCACTTTTTCAGAGCCGAACCTCAACAATAAAGAGCATCAGCGCAGCCCGGCCCCGCGCCGGGACACGCGTGTGCGGCAGTGACGCGCGCCTGCAGCGCTTACACGCGTGGGGGGCTCAGGGGCGCTGTCCCGCAGCCTGCAGAAGGCATCAGCCGTGGTTTCCCTTCCCGGCGCTTCCTGTTATTCCTCCGGCAGCATCCCCCGGTCCCAGCGGGGCCCAGCTGCCGGCAGCCGGGTCACCCCCGTGTCACCTCCGTGTCCCCGCCGTGTCCCCGGGGTCCTCCCGGCCGGTGCCGAGCGGGCTGGGGGACGCTGGAGCCGTGCTGTGTCCGGGCAGCCCCATGGAGCGGGATGGGCGATGCCACTGGTGGCAGCCCCACTCGAGGGGCTCATGGGGGGCCGGCAGCAACCCCTGCCCTGCTGTGAGCCCCCAGCACCCCCAAACTGCCGCAGGCAGCAGCGCACTGCAGATGTCACCCTGCTGTCCTGATGGCCTCCAGCTGTCCATCCATCCATATGGCCTCCCTCCATCCATCCCTCCATCCATCCATCCATCCCTCCATCCCTCCATCCATCCATCCCTCCATCCATATGGCCTCCCTCCATCCATTCCTCCATCCATCCATCCATCCATCCCTCCATCCATATGGCCTCCCTCCATCCATCCATCCCTCCATCCACCCATCCATCCCTCCACCCACCCACCCACCCACTCCATCCCCACCTCCCATCCCAAACCTCAGCTCCCTCTCACATTTTCCCACCCCTTTTCCCTATCCTCCCTCCACCCGCCCCAGCCCCAGAGGGTCCCGTAGGGCTGTGGGGACACCGGAGCCCGGGGGTCCCGCTCTCCAGCTCGTCCCTTCCGCCCCTTGGCTGCAGGCGCTTGAACCTCTGGAGAAGGAGAGGAACCCCCAAATTTTGTCCCCCTTTTGACCCAATTTTATCTCTTCCACCCCCCCCCCCCCGACAATCGGCCCTAAGGGGCTGTTGGGGTAAATCTGGGGGTCCGGGTCCCGGGGCAAACACCAGCGCCTCCCCCCGTTGTTTTCTCAGCCGTTCCTGGCCGTGGGCTCTGTCACAGGCGAACCCGGGCTCGTTTCCCCAGCACGAAGCGGGGCCGGAGCCGCCGGTGCGGGGCGTGGTGGGGGGGGGGCCGCTCCGTTTGCTGGGGCGGGAGGTGTGAAGCACCGGAGCCGCTTCAAAGGGGGCTCCCGGGGGCACCCCCCGCTTGGCCGTTTGGTGCCGGGGGGGGAGCTGCGTCCTGTCCCCATCCCCGCGGCCCCCGCCCCGCCTCCATCGTCAGCTCCAGCCCAAGCTCCTCGTCTCCAGCCGGGAGCATCCCCGGATGCAGGAGCAGGAGCATCAGCCCCTGTTTGGGGCTGGGGGTGCCCGGGCTCCCCCCGGCCGCTCACCCCCGGCTCCTCCGCATTCCCAGGGCTTCCCAAGGATGCTCCCCGGCCCCATCCCCCCGCCCTGCTCCTCGCCTCTGCCCCTATCTCCGCTCCTCATCTTTCCTCGCCCGCTGCTGCAGGAAGACAACACCTTCCTTATCTCCTTCCGACGGGTGGTCCGGGCCCCGCCGCCCCTTCCCCCCCGGCCCCGGCCGGGTGTTTATTGCCAAGCATCCCCGCATCCCCCCGGAGCCTCCGCAGGGAGCGCTTCCCTCCTGGAAGGGAAAGGGAAATCTCCAAGAGGCGGATAGAAAGCCTCAGCTCCCGTCTCGGCTGGCGCGGAGCCCGCGGCCGTTTCCGTGCCCACCGGGGAGGAAACGGCCCCTCAGCGCCCCCCCCCCCCAAAACACAGGGGCCCATCAGGGCTGCGATATGTGGGGGGGATGGACGGGATGAGGGGTGGATCAGTGGGGATCAGTGCTGCGATATGTGGGGTTGGGGGGGGGGATGGACGGGATGAGGGGTGGATCAGTGGGGATCAGTGCTGCGATATGTGGGGTTGGGGGGGGGATGGACGGGATGAGGGGTGGATCAGTGGGGATCAGTGCTGCGATATGTGGGGTTGGGGGGGGGATGGACGGGATGAGGGGTGGATCAGTGGGGATCAGTGCTGCGATATGTGGGGTTCGGGGGGGGGATGGACGGGATGAGGGGTGGAAGGGTGGGGGGGAGGGAAGGGAGGAGGGAATTATGGAGGGAGGGATGGATAGAAGGATAGAGGGAGGATGGAGGGAAAGAGGGAGGGATAAAGGCAGAGCAGGAGGGAGGGATGCCTGGATGGAGGAATGGAGGGAGGGAAGGAGGAGTGAAGGAGGGAGGGAGACAGGGGGCCTGGCCGGGTTGATGGATGGCCAGACGGGTTGATGGATGAGCACACGGGTGAGCACTATCGGGGGGAGCACACGGGTGAGCACTATCAGGGGTCTCTCCAGTGGGCAAACGCACTTCTCCCCCCTCCAAACCCCCTGCGGGGTGTGCCCCTGATGCAGCTTTCCCCCAAATCCCCCACCCCGCAAAGAGCCCCGGGCCCCCCCCCATTCACTTGGTGAAGCCAAAGACCCCTCGGTGGCTCTGGCCAGGCTGGCTCCATAGCGGGGTGGTGGCAAGGGGAAGGCAGAGGCACCCCCCCCCCGACGGGAAGCTGCCCAAGGAGCGCAGTAATCATCCCGCATCCTTTCCAAGCGGGAACAAAGGCTGGGGACAGGAGAGTTCATCACGAGCAAGTGAAGGATGTAAATAACAAATAGGGGCAAGATTTATTTAGAGCGAAGCCTCAGGAAGCCGCGGGGCCGGGAGGGAAATGGGACAGGAGCCATTTGGTGGCTCATCAAAATCCCGGCTTGGGGGGGGCCTTGTCCTGCCCAAGCCCCCTCCCCCTATCCCGAGCAGTCCTGCATCCCATCCCTCATCCCTTCGGCCCTCATCCCACCCCTGGTCCATCTCCTCGCCCCATCCCTGGTGTTTAATCCCATCAGGCGCAGTTGAGTCACCCGGGCTGGTGCTGGCCTCAGATAAGGAGCTGAAAATCCCGAAAATGGGATTCGGTGGGACAGGGCCGCCTGATGCAATCAGGGCTGGGGGGGGGGGGGGGATCCCGACGGGGACACCTCGGGGGTTAAAGCATCCTCGTTGCGGTGCCTGCGGGGCTGCGGAGCGGGGATGGGAATTGTCCCGTTTCCCAGGTGGGATGGGGAGGAGACCGGGAGAGAATGAGCCGGGGTTGAGCCCAAAGGGGGCCGAGGGCAGCCAGGGGGTACCCAGGAGGGAGCACAGCAGCTGTGGAGCATAGAGACCACCCCGGTGCACACACACATACACACACACACACACCCCATGGTGCACACACACATACACAGGGACACCCCCCGGTGCACACACACACAGGGGCACCCCATGATGCACACACACACAGGGACACCCCCGGTGCACACACACACACACAGGGACACCCCATGATGCACACACACACACACAGGGACACCCCATGGTGCACACACACACACCCACACCCCATGGTGCACACACACACACACACACACACACACACACACACACACACAGGGACACCCCCTGGTGCACACACACACACACGGGCGCACCCTGGTGCACACACACACACACAGGGACACCCCATGGTGCACACACACACACACAGGCACACCCTGATGCACACACACACACAGGGACACCCCACGATGCACACACACACACACACACGGACACCCCATGGTGCACACACCCCCGTACACACACCCACAACCCCCCCCCAGACCCTAGAACCCAGGCACCCCCCACCGCTGCTCCCCCCCACCCCCGAGCCCCCTCCCAAGGGACCCACACAATCACCCTGCTCCTTTTTTAACCAAAATCCATTTATTTGTCACAAAATCCCGAGCCCGGCGGGTGCTGGGGAAGGGGGGGGGGGGCCGTGACCCTAACCCTAACCCTGCGCCCCCCGGGGGCTCTGCGCAGCCCCTGCCGCAGCTTCCCCTTCCCAGCAGCAGGACCCCAGAGCAAGCCAGGCTCCGGGGCAGGAGGAGGCGGGGGGGTCCCCCCAAGGAGACCAGCTCGGGGGGCACCGGGGCGGCGTCAGGCGCGGAACAGCGTCTCCTGCGTGGCGGGGTCCAGCTTCCCCCCCGGCGCCGCAGCCCCTTTGCCCCCTTGCCCCGAGGAGTAGCTGCCGGAGCGCTCGGTGCCGGGCCCGGGGGGGCGGCAGCAGAGGAGCGCGGCGCAGGCCCGGCGGAACCGGGGGTCGAAGAAGGCGTAGAGGAAGGGGTTGAGGCAGCTGTTGATGTAGGCGACGCCGGAGCAGTAGGGGTGCAGGTTGCTGAGGAAGGTGTGGAGGCCGCAGGACCAGGGCAGCACGCCCAGGTCCATCAGCACGTACAGGGTCTTCACCAGGTGGAAGGGCAGCCAGCAGCCCCCGAAGGCGGCCACCAGCACCGTGATGATGGTGAGGAGGCGCTTGCGCTTGCGGGGCCCCTCGGCGCGCTCCCGGTGGAAGTGGCTGGCCACGGTGCGGGCGATGAAGAAGTAGCAGGTCAGCATCACGGTGAAGGGGGCCACGAAGCCGAGCGCGGTGGAGGAGAGCCCCAGCCCCACCTCCCAGGCGGCCTCGGTGCCCGGTGCCGCCAGGCCCCCGTAGTCCATGTAGCAGGTGACCCTGGTGTCCCCGCCGAGCGCGGCCGCCCGCCGCAGCACCAGCGCCGGCAGCGCCAGCAGCGCCGCCAGCACCCACAGGGCCACGGTGGCCAGGAGCCCGCTGACCCGGGAGCGCAGCTTGGCGGTGGCCAGCGGCCGCACGATGGCCAGGTAGCGGTCGAAGCTCAGCCCCGTCAGGCAGAAGACGCTGGCGTACATGTTAACGAACACCAGGTAGCTGCTGACCTTGCAGGCGGCCGTGCCGAAGGGCCAGTGGTAGCCCAGCCAGGCGTAGGCAGCCCACAGCGGCAGCGTGGCCACGAAGGTGAGGTCGGCGGCAGCCAGGTTGGCGATGAAGGTGTCCGCCGAGCGCCGCCGCTCCTGCCCGCCCTTGAAGACGGTCCAGAGCACCAGCCCGTTGCCCACCGTGCCCAGCAGGAACACCAGCAGGTAGATGGTGGGCAGCAGGGCCAGCGAGGGGCCCCACTCCTCGTACTCGCACTCCGTGTCGTTGTCCCCATAGGCGTAGGCGTCCGTCGCCTCCTCCATGCCGCCGGCCTGGGCTGGGTGGGCTCAGCTCATCCCGTGCGCACCGAGCTCCTCCGGCCCTCTGAGCCCGGCCCAGCGCAGCCCCCCGCGATACCTCCCCTTCCTCCTCCTCCTCCTCCGCCCTCCGGGATGGGGTGGGACGGGCGGGGGGGGCGGATGGGGGGAGCCCCGTGGGAACTTTCACAGCTCCCCCTCCCGCTCCGGCTCCTTCCTGGGGGCTGCTCCAGCTCGCACCCAAGTGTCAAACACCGGCCCCGGGGGCAGAGAACGCGGCTCGGGGGGGGGGGGGGGACCGCGGCGGGGAAGGAGCCGCGGTGCGGGGGGGGGGCCCGGCTCTGGCAGCGAAGCCCAAACGTGCACCTGGGGTGTCAGCTTCGGGGCATCGCACCCCGGGCTCCGGGTCCCACACTGGGGTTTGCGGCCCGGTGCTGTGCGGGGGGGGGTGTTTGTGGCCCGGTGCTGTGCGGGGGGGGTGTTTGCGGCCCGGTGCTGTGCGGGGGGGGGGTGTTTGCGGGCCGGTGCTGTGCGGGGGGGGGTGTTTGCGGCCCGGTGCTGTGCGGGGGAGGTGTTTGCGGCCCGGTGCTGTGCGGGGGGGGGTTTGCGGGTGCTGTGCGGGGGAGGTGTTTGCGGCCCGGTGCTGTGCGGGGGGGGTGTTTTGCGGGCGGGTGCTGTGCGGGAGGGGGTGTTTGCGGCCCCCGGTGGGGCTGTGGGGGGGGGTGTTTGCGGCCCGGTGCTGTGCGGGAGGGGGTGTTTGCGGGCGGGTGCTGTGCGGGAGGGGGTGTTTGTGGCCCGGTGCTGTGCGGGGGGGGGGTTTGCAGCCCGGTGCTGTGCGGGAGGGGGTGTTTGCGGCCCGGTGCTGTGCGGGAGGGGGGTGTTTGCGGCCCGGTGCTGTGCGGGGGGGGGTGTTTGCGGCCCGGTGCTGTGCGGGAGGGGGTGTTTGCGGCCCGGTGCTGTGCGGGAGGGGGTGTTTGCGGCCCGGTGCTGTGCGGGGGGGGGTGTTTGCGGCCCGGTGCTGTGCGGGAGGGGGTGTTCGTGGCCCGGTGCTGTGCGGGAGGGGGTGTTTGCGGCCCGGTGCTGTGCGGGGGGGGGTGTTTGCGGGCGGGTGCTGTGCGGGAGGGGGTGTTTGCGGCCCGGTGCTGTGCGGGGGGGGTTTGCAGCCCGGTGCTGTGCGGGAGGGGGTGTTTGCGGCCCGGTGCTGTGCGGGAGGGGGGGTGTTTGCGGCCCGGTGCTGTGCGGGGGGGCGGGGTGCTGTGCGGGAGGGGGTGTTTGCGGCCCGGTGCTGTGCGGGAGGGGGGGGTGGGGGGGGTTTGCGGCCCGGTGCTGTGCGGGAGGGGGTGTTCGTGGCCCGGTGCTGTGCGGGAGGGGGTGTTTGCGGCCTGTGCGGGGGGGGGGGTTTGCGGCCCGGTGCTGTGCGGGGGGGGGGGGTTTGCGGCCCGGTGCTGTGCGGGAGGGGGTGTTTGCGGCCCGGTGCTGTGCGGGGGGGGTGTTTGCCGGTGCTGTGCGGGAGGGGGTGTTCGTGGCCCGGTGCTGTGCGGGAGGGGGTGTTTGCGGCCCGGTGCTGTGCGGGGGGGGGGGGGTTTGCGGGGGGGGGGGGGGGTTTGCGGCCCGGTGCTGTGCGGGGGGGGTGTTTGCGGCCCGGTGCTGTGCGGGGGGGGGGTTTGCATTTGGTGTTTTGCATTGGGGACTCCCTGGCGCTCGGATGCTGCAGGGAGCGTTTGGTGTTTGTTTGGTGTCGGGCGTTTGGCGCTCGGGGCTCCGCGCTCTGCAAACGCCCCCGGCTCCGGGAGGGTCCCAAAGCGCCGCAGTTCCCGCCCGAGGCGCTGGGAGCGAAACCGGGGGGGGGGGGCGCCGGGACCCCCCGTGCGCGCGGGATCGGAGGAGGTCGGGAGCTGCCGGTGCCCCGGGATCCGCTGCAACCGGACCGAGCGCACCCGGGCTGGGGCAGCGGGAGCGGGAGGGGCGCTCCCCCCGCCCATGGAGCCCCCTGGCCCCACCGGGGCTGAGCCCGCCCGGTCCCAGCTCTGGGGACAGCCCCGGGGGGGCGGCAGGAGGGGAGGTGTGAACGGGCACGAGGGCCCCGGGGGGCCGGGGCTGCAGCGCGGAGGCGCCGTTTGGTGTCGGGACAGAGCCACGGGGGGGCCGGGGAGCGGGAACGGCTGAAACCCGGGAGCGGAGCGCGAATCCCGGCTGCGGGAAGCGAACGGAAACCGAGGGGTGCGGGAGAGCCTGGGGGTGGGGAACGGGGGTGCGGGAGCCCGGAGGAACCAAACCAGCGCCCAAAGGGGACCCAGCGGCAGCAGCCGGGGAGGGCAAAGCAGGGGTGATGGGGTGGAGATAACCGGAGATAACGGGCACCGAGCAGATAACGGGCACTGACGCCTGCGGAGGACCGGGACGAGCTTGGCCGGGCCCCATCACCCGCGGTGCGAGCTGCGACGGCTGCGGGCTGAAGTTAAAAGCCGCGGTTTGAGGAAGGAAGAAAGAAAGGGCCCCCCCCGCCCCCCGGTCCCGGGGCCCCTCCGCCGCTGAACGCCCCAGAGCAGGGAACTGACCCCCCCCCCGGTGCCGCCGCGAAGCCGCTGCCCAGCTCCGGGAGCGCCGCTGACACCGAGCCCGGCTCCCTCCATCCCCGTGGGAGCGCAGAGCGCAGTTAACGCTCCCCAGCCCCGCCCTAGAGCCGCCGGTGAGGCCGGGGGCGGGCGGACACAGAGCCCCCGTCGCCCCCCCCCGGGGGGGTTCGTGCAGCGGGCGGCAGCCGGGGCTGCCCCGGTGTCACCGGGGGGCTGGTACCGGGTCACGGACGGGATCGGGAGCGCCCCGAGCCGGGGCCGCAGCGAGCAGCGCCCCCAGCAGCGGCTCCAGGGTGGATCCAGGGCTCGGGGAGCGAGACTTTGCCAGGGAAAGGCCGAGCCCATGGGGCAGCCGCCAAGCTCCCGGCTCAGACCCCACTGCCGGGTGTGGGGCGGGGGCTGCCCCATGGGAGCCGGAACCCCCTCAGCCGTGGGGCCGGAGACCCCCATCCCGGTGCCGCAGCACCGCGCACCCCCCCATGGGCAGGCCCAGCGCGGGCACGGAGCTCCTCCTGGTGGCAGCGGCGGCCCCCGCAAGCGGACACCCCCGAGGGGACACCCGGGGGCGCTGAGGACAGAGCCAGGGCCCCCCCGACCCAACCAGAGAAGATTTTATTGTCCTGTTCAAGTGGCACCAAGATCCCGACCTGCTGCTCCCTGTGCGGGGCTGATGCAGGAGCGGGGGGGGGCACAGCCCAGCCCAGGGCTCGGGGGGAGCCCGGGGGGGGCTGCACAGTGATGGGGGTCAGGGACCCTGCGAGCATGGTACAAAGTGCATAGATGTGTGTGTGTGTGTGTGTGTGTGTCCTGATCCGGGGCAGCGGCCGGCAGGGGGGAGCCTGGAAGAGACAGCGGGAACGGGGTGAGGGGCCCCGGGGGATCCAGTGCCAGGGAGGGGGGTCCCGGCTGGAGCAGGAGGGACGGGGGTGGCGCCCCCCCCAGCAGCAAGGACCCAGGGCCATGGGGACCCGTTCCCACCCCTGCGCTGCCACCGCTTCCCCCTCCAGCCCCCCGGGGCACAGGAGGGGAGTGGGGAGGGGTCGGGGGGGGGGGGTCTGTCCCAGTGTCCCCCCAGTCCCGCCCTCACCCCCCTCAAGGTTTCTTCTTCTTCAGCTTGAGCGCTTGCAGCCAGTGTGGGGGGGAGGCCTCGGACCTGCAGGAGTGGGCACGGTGTGAGCCCCCCAAACCACTGCTGGGAGCCCCAGCACCCCCCATGGTCCCTCCAGCACCCCCAAGCCCCCTCGCACCTCTGCAGAAGCCACCCTCAGGGCTCCCACAAGCCCCTGCTGGAGCACCAAAGGGGGTGGCAGCCCCCCCACCCTCCACCCCCAGCACTGGTGGGTGCACGCAGTGCCCCCAGCCAGCCCCTGTGCCCCCGCTCTCACCCCGAGGGCCGCTCAGGTTTGGGGGGCAGCACCAGGGGCTTCCCGCTCAGGCCGGGGATCTTGCAGGACTTGGAGCGCTGCACAAGGGGCTCCCGGGGGGGGGTCACTTTGCTGTCCCCCGGCGAGGGCCCCTCCTCGGCCGAGCGGTTCCGGCCCCGCAGCTTGGCCTGGGGGCAGACAGGGAGGTGGGGGCGGGCTCCGGGCGCTCCGTGCCCCCCCCGTCCCCATCACCCGGGAGCCCTCACCTTGAGCGCGGCCGCGCTGAGGCTGGGGAACAGCGGCCCCCTCCCGGCCCTGCCCGCCCGCCGGCTCCGGGGCTCCACCGCAGCCTCGTCCTCGGGCGCCGCGGGCCGGGGCTCTGCGCACGGACAGGGTCAGCTCCGCACCGCCCCCCCCCCCGCCCGCCCCCCGCCCTCGGGCCTCACCGCTGCAGTCACGGAAGAGCCACGCGTCCCCCTCCGGGCCGGCCGCGGGGCGCAGCGCGGGAGCCCGGTGCCTGCGCTGCCGGCCCAGCTCGGCCTTGCTGCGGAGCACGCGGGTGTCCAGCACCTCCGCCTCCTGCGGGCACACGGGAAGGGTCAGGGTCAGCGCCGGCACCGGCACCCGCAGAGCCCCACGAGGCACCGGGACCCCCGAACCCGCAGCCCCCCCTCGGGGTGCAGCCCCATCCGCAGAGCAGAGGCTCTGTGAGGGACCCCCGAGGCCCTGCCACCGCCCTCACCTCCAGGAAGGTGAACTCCTGCCCGGGGAGGACCGGGGGTGCCTCGGGATGTGGGGTGCCCATGGGGAGCCTCTTCTCCTCCCAGCTGGGAGGTCTCTTCCCATCCGGGTGGTCCTCGGGGGCTGCTGCACTCCCTGCGTCCAGTGGGGTCCCACCGACAGCCTCTGGCAGCAGAGAGGGGGCCCCGGGGCTCCGCGGGGCAGGGGTCAGCTCCAGGGGGTCCCTCTCCTCCTCCGCAGGGCCGGGTGGGTCGGTGCAGGGGGACCCCATGGCCGGGGGCTCACCCATCTGCAGGCTGGGGTCCCAGGGGCCAACGCTGCTGCTGGGAGAGACAAGAGCCTCGGGTTCCTCCAGCTCCAGCACAAACCCTCCCCTGCCCCACTGAGCAGGGCAGGACCCGGGTGTCCAGGCCCGTTCCTTCCCTCCCAGGACATCAAACCAAGGGGAGCTCTGGGAGGTTCCCAAAGCCCCTTCAAGGGCTGAGGAGAGCAGGGAGGCTGCAGGCTCACAGGGGACGGGGGTGAACTCCCCCCTTTGGGACAGAGAAAGGGGTCAGACCCCAACAGGGTCACCGGCCCCAGAAGGACCAGAGGGACATGGGGGGACCAGGAGCAGGGGGAGCGCAGGGCACCCAGGGTGCAGGAACCCACACAGCTCCCGGAGCAGGGTCTGGGGGCTCCCCATAACCCACAGAGCCAGCCAGGCTGAGGCCTTCCCCAGGCCCATGGGACTTCACTTCCCAATCCTGCAGTCCCTGTTTCCAGGCAGCCTGAGAGAATTCATCATCTGGGGACTCCCCAGCTCCGTGTGGCCTGGAATCAGGGCTCCCGCATCCCAGTGAAGCAATAAGGGACAGGGATAATTGTGCCAGTTCCAGGGGGCAGAGGAACACCAGCACCTGCACACAGCTCCCCACGTCAGAGGGAGATGCCCGGAAGGCACCGTCCCCTCTTGGATCAGCTCACGGTGGCGGACCCTGCTGTTCCCCAAACTGTCCCTGCTGCAGCTGGGGGGCAGGAGGCCACAGGGCCACAGGAGGAGCTGGAGCTCGGGTAGGACACCAGCACCGGGCCCATGGCGCTGGGAGCCCCCCCCCAGCACAGTGAGGACACCCGAGGGGACGGAGCCTTCCCGGGGCCGCGCCGCCGCCGCCAGCACCCCCGTACCTGTGCCTGGGGCTGGCGTCACCTCCCGGGGGCTGCTCCCCGATGTCCCGGCTCCGCGCGGCGCAGCGGGCGCTGAACGCATCGGCCCATTCCCGGCGCTGGGCCTCTGCATCGCCGCAGCCGCGCTCCTGCAGGCAGGCTCCTCCCGAGGGGACATCCCGGTGCTGGTCCCCTGCGGCTCCCATCACACCCCCCCAGGGCAGGGAGCCACCGGGGGACACCGCGGCGCTGGAGGGGCCCAGGTCCTGCTCTGTGCCGGTGCTGCTGAACCGGCGGTGGCGCTCGGGGGCTCCAGGCTGCTCAGCCCGGTCCCTGCTGCCGGCGGCACCGAGCTCAGCGCTGCCACAGCCAGGACCCTGCGATGGGGGAGCGGGGCAGGGGGAGCCGGGCACCTCCTTCCCATCGGCAGCAGCATCCACAGGCTCCGTTTGGTTCGTGGCGTGGCCAGGCCTGACCTCGCTCCCTTCATCTCCGGTGTCTGCAGAGCTGCACCCACCGGCCCAGGTCAGGCTGCCAGGGCTGGGCTCCTGCTCCTGGCTCTCCATGTCCCTACTCCTGTATCCATCAGCCCCAGCTGCTCTGCTGGGGATGAGCTCCTGCTCCTGGCTCTCCATGTCCCTACTCCTGTATCCATCAGCCTCAGCTGCTCTGCTGGGGATGAGCTCCTGCTCCTGGCTCTCCATGTCCCTACTCCTGTATCCATCAGCCTCAGCTGCCCTGCTGGGGATGAGCTCCTGCTCCTGGCTCTCCATGTCCCTACTCCTGTATCCATCAGCCTCAGCTGCTCTGCTGGGGATGAGCTCCTGCTCCTGGCTCTCCATGTCCCTACTCCTGTATCCATCAGCCTCAGCTGCCCTGCTGGGGATGAGCTCCTGCTCCTGGCTCTCCATGTCCCTACTCCTGTATCCATCAGCCTCAGCTGCTCTGCTGGGGATGAGCTCCTGCTCCTGGCTCTCCATGTCCCTACTCCTGTCTCCATCAGCCTCAGCTGCTCTGCTGGGGATGAGCTCCTGCTCCTGGCTCTCCATGTCCCTACTCCTGTCTCCATCAGCCTCAGCTGCTCTGCTGGGGATGAGCTCCTGCTCCTGGCTCTCCATGTCCCTGGTGCTGTGCTCATGAGCCCAGGTTGGTTTGTTGGGTTTCAACCCGCTCTCCTTGCTCTCCATGTCCCTGGTGCTGTGTCTGTCCTCGCAGGCCAGGCTGAACTCCCTGTCCTGGCTCTCCATGTCCCTGGTGCTGCACTCACTGGCTCTGGTTGGTCTGCCAGGGCTGAGCTCCTCACCCCAAGCCTCCACATCCCTGGTGCTGCATTGGTCATCCCAGGCCGATCTGCCGGGGCTGAGCTCCCTGTGCCAGGTCTCCATGGCCCCGATGCTGTGCTCGCTGGCTTTGGCTGGTCTGGCAGGGCTGAACTCCTTGTCTTGGATCTCCATGTCCTTGGTGCTGTATCCATCAGGCTCAGCCAGTCTGCTGGGACTGAACTGGTCCAGGCTCTCCACATCCCTGGTGCTGTATCTGTCCTCCCAGGCTGGTCTGCTGGGACTGAACTGGTCCTGGCTCTCCACATCCCTGGTGCTGTATCTGTCCTCCCAGGCTGGTCTGCTGGGTTTGAACTCCCCATCCTGGCTCTCCACATCCCTGGTGCTGTATCTGTCCTCCCAGGCTGGTCTGCTGGGACTGAACTGGTCCTGGCTCTCCACATCCCTGGTGCTGTATCTGTCCTCCCAGGCTGGTCTGCTGGGTTTGAACTCCCCATCCTGGCTCTCCACATCCCTGGTGCTGTATCTGTCCTCCCAGGCTGGTCTGCTGGGACTGAACTGGTCCTGGCTCTCCACGTCCCTGGTGCTGTATCTGTCCTCCCAGGCTGGTCTGCTGGGACTGAACTGGTCCTGGCTCTCCACATCCCTGGTGCTGTATCTGTCCTCCCAGGCTGGTCTGCTGGGTTTGAACTCCCCATCCTGGCTCTCCGTGTCCCTGGTGCTGTATCTGTCCTCCCAGGCTGGTCTGCTGGGACTGAACTCGTCCTGGCTCTCCACATCCCTGGTGCTGTATCTGTCCTGCTGGTCTGCTGGGTTTGAACTCTCCTGGCTCTCCACATCCCTGGTACTGTATCTGTCCTCCCAGGCTGGTCTGCTGGGACCGAACTGGTCCAGGCTCTCCACATCCCTGGTGCTGTATCTGTCCTCCCAGGCTGGTCTGCTGGGTTTGAACTGGTCCTGGCTCTCCACGTCCCTGGTGCTGTATCTGTCCTCCCAGGCCGGTCTGCTGGGTTTGAACTCCCCATCCTGGCTCTCCACATCCCTGGTGCTGTATCTGTCCTCCCAGGCCGGTCTGCTGGGTTTGAACTCCCCATCCTGGCTCTCCACGTCCCTGGTGCTGCCCTCGCTGGCTTTGGCTGATCTGCTGGAGCTGAGCTCTCTCTCCTGGTTCTCCATGTCCCTGGTGCTGCATTCACTGGTCCAAGCAGGTCTGCTGGGGTTGAACTCCTGGTCCTGGCTCTCCATGTCCCTGGTGCTGTATCCATCAGCCTCCGCCAGTCTGCTGGGGCTGAACTCCCTGTCCTGGCTCTCCATGCCTTGGGTGCTGCACTCACCAGTCCAAGCAGGTCTGCTGGGGCTGAACTCCCGGTCCTGGCTCTCCATGCCTTGGGTGCTGCACTCACCAGTCCATGCAGGTCTGCTGGGGCTGAACTCCCGGTCCTGGCTCTCCATGCCTTGGGTGCTGCACTCACCAGTCCAAGCAGGTCTGCTGGGGCTGAACTCCCGGTCCTGGCTCTCCATGCCTTGGGTGCTGCACTCACCAGTCCATGCAGGTCTGCTGGGGCTGAACTCCCGGTCCTGGCTCTCCATGCCTTGGGTGCTGCACTCACCAGTCCAAGCAGGTCTGCTGGGGCTGAACTCCCGGTCCTGGCTCTCCATGCCTTGGGTGCTGCACTCACCAGTCCATGCAGGTCTGCTGGGGCTGAACTCCCTGTCCTGGCTCTCTGTGCCTTGGGTGCTGCACTCACCAGTCCATGCAGGTCTGCTGGGGCTGAACTCCCTGTCCTGGCTCTCCGTGCCTTGGGTGCTGCACTCACCAGTCCATGCAGGTCTGCTGGGGCTGAATTCCCGGTCCTGGCTCTCCATGTCACTGGTGCTGTATTGGCTATCCCAGGCCGCTCTGCTGGGGCTGAACTCTCTGCCTGCAGCCCCAGCGTCCCCAGTGCTGGACCTGCCAGCCCAGCCCAGGGTGAGATCCTTGTCCGTGGTCTCAGCACCCCTGCTGCTGTATTTACTGGTCCAGTCTGGGCTGAGCTCCCTCTCCTTCATCTCCGGCTCCCTGGAGCCGTACTGGCCAGCCCACGCTGGTGTGATGTCCTGGTCCTGGCTCTCCGGATCCCCAGAGCTGTACTTGCCAGCCCAGCTGGGCTGCCTGGAGCTTAGCTCCTCATCCTGGCGCTGGGCTCCCCCCGCACTGTAACTGCTGCTCCAGCCGGCGCTCCCGGAGCCGATCCCGTCCCCGCTGCCAGTGCTGTCCAAGCCGTAGCTGGTGCCCCACGTGGGTTTGCTGGCACTGAGCTCCTGTTCCTGCCGGCCGCTCTCCCCAGTGCCAGGGGCTCTGTGCCAGTCGCTGCGGCCCAGCCCCGCGTCTCCCGGCAGCTCGGTCCCTCGGCAGCCGCTGCCCCACTCGCTCCTGGAGGTGCCGAAGGGCTGCTCCCCAGCCCCGGTGCTGCCCCAGCTCTGTTCGGTGCCGAACTCCCGGTCCCGCTGCGGCTCTGGGGGCCAGTCTGTCCCTCGGGTCCAGCGGAAGGCGCTGCTGGGGCTGGGGGTGCCGATGCCGAATTCACTGCTCAGGTCCTTTCGTGACCAGCCAAGGAGGCCCTGGGCAGGGACAGGACAGGGGCTAAGCGGGGGTCTCAGTCCCGGCTCAGCAGCACAAGGAAGCTGGGGAGGTGCAGCCACAGGGACCCCCCCTTGGGTACCCGAGGCACAAGCAGGGGCCCATCCTAAGGAGAGCTCAGATCCCGCCACCCGCCCTCCCAGCCCCGCAGGGCCCCATTCCCACCGGGAGCACTCACGGCCGTTGTGCCTGCCCAGAGCCCCCCCCAGCCCGGCTCATGGCACCGCTGATCCCACAGCTCCAGGTTGGGCAGCAGCCGCCGCAGGGTGCCCGTGGGCCCCGACTCCCCGGCCATGGCTCCCGCACGCGGCGGCCGCACCCCGGCTCTCCCTGCAGCACGCTCGGCTCAGCCTCCACCCATCCCGACCCATCCCATCCTGACCCATCCCATCCCAACCCACACACAGGCGCCACGCACACCACACTGACTCGGTGCCGTGTTAACCCTTGCACCGCGGAGCTGCGGGTCCCTCACCTCCGTGCCCTGTCCTGAGTGGGCTCCGGGCGATGCCAACAGCTCCGTCAGCCAGCCCGGGTCACCGGGGGCATCGCGGCTCCTTGGGGACCCTCCAGCCCGGCCTGGCCCGCCGGGGCCCTGCAGGCTCAACGCAGAGTCGCCCTCCGGTGCCCACACCGAGTCGGTGACCGTGGCTGGAGGCGGTGGGGCCGGATCCGGTGGGGCAGCCTCGGTGCAGGGCTCGGGCTCGGGCTCAGCTGGGTCCTGGCCAGGCTCCGTCACGCACAGTGTCACGTCCTGCTCTGCCTCCCCATCGCCATCCTCCTCCGGCGAGCTCTCAGCCTCTGCCTGGGCCACGGGGCCCCCCGGACACGGGGCCCCCTCTGCTCCAGGGGCCGGGTCCTCCCCGTCCGAGTCGCCGGTCTCCCGGATGGGGGAGCGGGGCGGGGATGGGCCCCGCCGGGCCCCCCGTGCTGGGAACGTCCACTCGAAGGACTGGGAGAGGCTCCAGCTGGATTCACTGCCCAGGGCCGGCTCCGGCAGCGGGTCCCCAGGCCGGGGCAGGGCACCCAGTGAGCCCCCCAGCCCCCCCAGGCCCTGCCCCGTGCCTGGGGGCTGCAGCACCCCCTCCGATGAGCGCCGCAGCCCCGAGTCCCTGCAGGGGGGAGCGGGGCTGAAGCTGGGACCCTCAGAGGACAGTGGGGATGCTGGGGGGTCATCGGGTCCCTCTGGGGAGCCCGGGGGGCGAGAGACTTTACCCAGGGCCTCGGGGGGTGGGCTGGGGGAGGCCGGGTACTGGACAGCAGCCTCGGGAGAGCCGGGGGGGCAGGTGGCCCTGGGGGGCACCTCCGGAGTGCCAGCGGGGCTGATGGCCCTGGGGGGCAGCCCGGGGGTGCCCGGGGGGGTGGCTGCATCGGGGGACCCCTCTCCAGGCGTGTGGGGGGAGCCCGGGGAGCGGGAGATGCTGAGCTGGGGCTCGGCTGTGGAGGAGGGAGCCCCCGGAGCCTGGATGGAGGTGGCCGAGGCCCTGGCTGGAGGCTGGGATTCAGGGGAGCCAGGGGCCCGTGTTGGGGAGCCGGGGGCCAGGAGCTCAGGGGGGGCATTGGGGGAGCCAGGGGCTGCAGCACAGGGCTGGGAGGGAGCCCCTGGGGCCAGAGCTGGGCAGGAGGGGGGCCTGGGAGAGCCGGGGGGGCCCAACTGCAGAGAGGAGAGCTGCGGAGAGAGCCAGTGGGGGCACGTCACCCAGAGGAGCCTCCGGGTATCACCCCCAAATCACAGCCCCGAGGCCCAGTGGGGGTCTGCCCCCCCCTCGAGCAGGAGCTGCCCCACTTCCCCCAGCACCCGGATGCTCCCTGCCCAGCAGGACCCTGCCGTGCCCGAGCACCCCCCCCGGCAGAGGGAAAGGAAGAACTGAAGCAGGAGCAGAGAACCCAGCCCGGGCCCCCAGCACCCCCTTGCCAGCATCACCCTGCCCGCGGGGGGTGGTGCCGGGCAGCGGGGGCCGCCGGGAGCCCCGGGGCCGGTCCTGCCCCGCCGCCCCCCCGCGGTGACTCACGCCCCGCACCGCTCCCCCCGCCCCGAGCAGGCGGCGCAGGGCCGCAGACACGCACCGCGCGGAGAGGGAGCCCCGGAGGAGACAGGAGAGCCCCGAAGGAGAGAGCGGAGCCGCCGCGGCCGGGCGGGCGCGGCCACAACTCACGTCAGGGGGGGAGCGCGGCCTCCGGCGTCCGCGGGGGGCCCCGGCGCTGCTCGGGCCGGCGGGGGGGGAGCCGCTGCCGGACAAACGGGGAACGAGCGTGAATTCCCTCCCTGCGCCCCCGGCTCCCGGCTCCCGGCCGCGGGATGGGGCTGGGGGACCCGCAGGAGGCCCCGCAGCCTGCGCCAGACCCGACACCGAACCGCGGGGGGGGGGGTCTGGAAATCGGCCCCGCTCCCGTTTCCCGGGAATTCTCGGTCCCCGGAGAGCCCGTTTCTCACACCGGGGTTTAAAATAGCCGGGTCCTGCTCCCTGGAGATGCCCGGCTCCGGGAGCGGGGCCAAGTGCTGGCTCCCACCCAGCACATCCTGCCCCAGAGCCGCCCTGGCACGGCCCGAACAGGGAGCGATTCCCAAGGGGAGCGCCCCTCTCCCCGTTATTCCCAGCCTCGGGCAGCGCTGCCCAGGCGCGGGAGCCCGCCTGGCTCCAGGCCCGGCCCCCGGGGGCGCGCAGGCAGCTCCTCAACCGGGACAGCTCGTTCCTGCGGTCGGCACAAGCCGCCGCTGCGGCCCCGGCCTTCCCACGGTGGACGCCCGAGCTCGGCTCCGTTATTCCCGTCCCCAGGATGACCCTGAACAGCCCCCCCCGGCCCCGCAACCTCGCGCCCCAGCCCCTCACCTCCTCTCGGCTGTGGGGTCTCCGTCGTCACCCGGCCCCGGCTCACCCGCCGCGGGTTGGGGGGCCTCGCCGGGGGTGGCTCCCTCCGCCTCCCCGCTGGGGCGCCTCCGGAAGGCAGCAAAGGGCTTGGAGCCGAAGCGCAAGGAGGGGTCGGGGCAGAGCCGGGCTCGGTCGGGGCTCCCTGGGCCCTCCCTGGTGTCCATCTTGGCCAAGATCTGCTCCACGGTGGTGCCTGGGAACCGCTCCAGTTTGGTGGCCACTGGCACCGGCGTCACCTTGAAGGGCGGCGGGCCCTTGCGGGAGGGGGTCGGCGGCAGGGGGGGCTCCTCACCGGGGGTCGCTCCCACGGCCTCCCCAGCTGCTGCTACAGGGGAGGGCAGCCCCTTCTCGGTGGGGGGCTCTTGATGGGGGGACTTGATGGTAAAGGAGGGCCGGCGGAGGGGCCCCCCCGCGCTGCCGGTGCCGTAGGGCTGGGGCCCAGCCAGGCGGTTCATCTTCTCTGCCGAGGGCAGCTCAGGGCGCGGGTGCCGCGGGCCCGGTAGTGGCAGCGGGGTCTTGGCAGGCACGGCCGGCTTGGGCAGCACACGGGGCTTGGGCCGCAGCGGGGGCTTGGGCCGGGCAGCGCCTGTGGGGCAGTGAGGAGACACCGTGCTGGGGGAGCAGCATGGCCAATGGGAGCCAATGGGATACTCCTGGCTGGGAACAGACCCCAGCATCAGCCTGGCATCCCTGGAGGCTCCCCAGCACAGCAACACCCCCCCGGTTCCTCCCACCCGTGGGACTGACCTGTGTCGGGGCTGCCGCCCACCAGCCCCCCGGTGCCTGCCGGTGCGGCGCAGGGCAGCGCCGGGTGCAGGGACTGCGGCTGCGAGGCCATGGCCGAACTGGGACCGGGACTCACTGGGCACGGGCAGGGTCAGCCCCTGGGGGGACAGAGAGCGGAGGAGGAGGTGTTTTGGGGCGCTCTGAGGCTGGCAGCACCCTGTGAGCAGCAGCCGCATTGTGCCGGGTGCCAACCTCCCAGTGCCAAACCCTCGTGTCCACCTGCACCGGGGCCACGTGCCAGAGCACCGCCCCCCCCCGCACCCTTCCCTGTGCCGGTGCCACCCTTGGTTCACTGCCCCGGGGCCGCCTGTGCCACGACACCGGGACCCCAAACCCCGCGGGAACCGCGCTCTGTCCGCACCCCCAGTAACCCCCCAGTCACCCCCATGCATCAATAACCACGCCCCGCCCCCGGCTCCCCACAAACGCTGCCCCGTTCCCCATTTACCTGCCCTGAGCCCATCCCAGCGCCCTCCAACCGCTCTCCCAAACGCTGGCCCGGCCCAAATAACCCCCCCCCTCCCTCCCACCACCACCCCCCCAAGTGCCGACCGCCCCGGGGTCCCACAGCCCCGCTCACCTCCCTGGCAGCGGCCGCATGTCCGGGGTGCGCCGGGGACACGGGGGGTGCCGCCGCCGCCGCTCCCGTGACTCACCGGGGCTGCGGGGACAGGAAAAACCCGCTCGGTGCCTCCTCCCCGCCCGGCCCGGCCCTGCCCTCCCCTCCCCTCCTCTCCTCGCCGGGGTCCACCCCCTTCCCCGGGCGTCACAACCCACATCTGGAAACCATCGGGCCCGGGGTCCGGGTGTGGGTCCCCTCCGCTCCGGGGCGGGGCGGCCTATTCCCGCTGCGGCGGCAACGGAGCCCTTGCTCCAGCAGAGGAGTAGGCCGCAACCAGTGGGCCTAGGCCTGTTGCCATGCCAACGGAGCCCCCCACTCGATTTAGGTGACGGCACCGGGTCGGTTGCGGCGCGTCGGGGGCCGAACCCGCGGAGTAGCCCGCGGGTTCGGCCCCCGACGGGCCGCAACCGACCCGGTGGAGGGTTTTAACTGCGGTTCCCGTATCCCGGTTCCCGGTTAAGGCCCATCCCGGTGCAGCGACCCCCGCTCACCCACTGCAGCTGGCCACGCCCCTTCGCCCCTCCCTCAGCCAATCAGAGACTGCGGCGGGCCAGACGCGGCCCGGGCGCCGCGTGGCCAGGCAGAGCGCATAGAGGAGACGAGCTAGAGAGGCGCCCGGCTAGGGTGGGACTACCATAGAGTGGCGGGTAGAGGGGCGGCGGTGGCAAAGCGCCGCCTGCAGGGTAGGAGGTATCAGAAGCGGGTTTATCCCCATGGGAGAGGTCGGTAGCGGGGAGGGAAAAAGGGGAAGGGGAAAAGGAGAGGAAAAAGCGAGAGGGAAAGGGGAAGAAGAAAGAAATAGGAAGGGGAGAGGGAAGGGAAAAGAAGAGGGGAGGAAGGGGAAGAAGGTGGAAAGGGGAAGAGGGAAGAAGCTGGAAGTAGAACAGAGAAAAGGGAAAGAAGAGGGAAGGGGGAAGAAGGAAGAGGAAAAACGAGAAGGAAGGAGGGAAGAGGACAGAATGGGGCAAAGCGGAAGGAATGGGGCAGAATGGGACAAAAGGGGATGGAAAGGGACAAAGACTGTTCGCTAGGAACTGTAGTGACAGGACAAGGGGTAATGGGTTAAAACTGAAACAGGGGAAGTTTAGACTGGATCTAAGGAGGAAATTCTTTCCTGTGAGGGTGCTGAGGCACTGGAATGGGTGCCCAGGGAGGTTGTGAATGCTCCATCCCTGGCAGTGTTCAAGGCCAGGTTGGACAGAGCCTTGGGTGCCATGGTTTAGAGTGAGGTGTCCCTGCCCATGGCAGGGGGCTTGGAACTCGATGATCTCAAGGTCCTTTCCAACCCAAACCGTTCTGTGATTCTATGAAAGAGGATGGAGAAGGATGAAAGGGGACAGAATGGGGCAGAAGGGGATGGAAGGGGATAGGAAGGAAGGGGGTAGAAAGCGGCAGAAGGGGACAGTAGGGGTTGGAAGGGATGGAAGGTGACAGAAGAGGGCAGAAGGGGATGGAGTGGGATGGGAATGGGAGGGAAGGGCCCCTGCCCCGCTGGGCCATCGCAGCCACGCTCCCGCCCTGGGTGGGTTTTTTTATTCAATCCCGGTTTCCACGGGAACAGACCCAAAATACAAAAAAAAAAACCAACAAAACCCAAGGGAGGGAAGGAGGAACCAGCCGAGAGTTACAAAAGAGCAAGAGCCACGGGGCTGGGAGGGACCCCCCGGGACACCCAGCACTGGCAGGCGCGGGGGGGCCCAGCGGGCACGGGGGGCCCTGGAGCTGGTCCCTGCTGTGGGCGCCCGGTGCGGGAACCCCCCGGGACAAGGATGGATCAATCGGAGCCTGATGCGGAGTCCGAGGAGCTGCGGCGGGGGCTGGGGGCTCCCTCCTCCTCCGAGTCCTGCAGGAAGGTGCAAGGATGCGGGGTCAGCGGGGACACGAGGGTGACAGCAGGGATGGTGGGGTCAGCGCGGGACAACGAGGTCCCCACCTCTCCCATGCCCCCCACGGGGTGACCACGGAGGTAGCACACAGAAGCCACCCCCAGTGAGGACCATACCCAGCCCCTGCAGACAAGCCCCATGGCAGGACCGGGGTGTGGGTCCCCCCCCAGGGGCAGGGGGTGCCCCAGCTCTACCCCACCTCCTTCTTGCTCTCGGCAGAGGAGCTCTCATCGCTGGACACAAACTCTTTGCTCTTGAAGCTCTCGTTCGAGCTCTTGGCCGAGGACTTGCTGGAGGGCAGAGACTTGGAGCTGGTGCCTTTCCTCTCCGCCTTCCCCTTCAGCTGCTTCTCCTGCTTCTTCTTCTTCTTCTTGGACCTCTCCCTGTGCACGGTGGGAGGGAGGGGACGTTACCACCGACCCCGGCCCAGCCCCACGGAGCTGCCCCCAGCCCAGCACTCACCCCCGGGAGCTCTCCGCCTTGCTGCCAACGCTGTATTCCTTCATGGCCTTCTCATAGTCCCTCCTGGCATCTTCCGCCTTGCGATCCCACTCCTGCCACAGGAACACGGGAATGGGGGGAATGGTTCCCTCCTCCGGCACCAACAGAGCCTCAAACCATCCAACTCTCATGTGCTCCCTCCTTGGACCAAGCCTGTGCTCAACCAGCAGCCCCAACCCATCACCTCCCCACAGCCATGGGGACCTTCCTGACCTCCCATCTATGGAGCTCCAGGTGCAGGCAACCAAACAAGGGCCTCTCTGTCCTCCCCATGTCCACCCTCCCTTGATCCATCCCTCCCTTTATCCATCCCTCCCTTTACCCATCCCTCCCTTTACCCATCCCTCCCTTTACCCATCCCTCCCTTTACCCATCCCTCCCTTGATCATCCCTCCCTTTATCCACCCCTCCCTTTATCCATCCCTCCCTTTACCCATCCCTCCATCCTGAGCCAGGCTCGGCTCTCCCCACCAGCAGCCCCACCCATGCAGCCCGTCCCTCACCTCCTTCTTCTCCTTGGACATGGCTTTCCAGAGCTCCCCAGCCTTCTTGGACAGGTCTGTGATGCTGATGCCAGGGTGGTCGGACTTTATGCGCTCGCGGCTGGCGTTCAGCCACAGCATGTACGCAGACATCGGCCGCTTCGGCGCGTTCGGGTCCTTCCCCTTCTTGCTCTGGGAGGCAGGAGCAGAGAACCAGCGTGAGAGGCTCAACCAGCATCACCCACTGCAGTCCTGGGGACGTGGGGCTGCCCCACAGCCACCAAAGGGCCAGTTCTTGGAGATCAGGCTCCCAACAAACAAAGGGATAGGCCAGGCCTTTGGGAAAGGTTCCAGACACTGGAGCCAGGCTGAGAGAGCTGGGCTGGGGCAGCCTGGAGAAGAGAAGGCTCCTGAAAGGGAGACCTGAGAACAGCTCCTGTGCCTAAAGGGGCTGCAGGAACCTGGAGAGGGGCTGGGGACAAGGGCCTGTAGGGACAGGCCAAGGGGAATGGCTTGAACCTGCCCGAGGGGAGACTGAGCTGAGCTCTTAGGCAGAAGCTCTTCCCTGTGAGGGTGCTGAGGCGCTGGCACAGGGTGCCCAGAGAAGCTGTGGCTGCCCCATCCCTGGCAGTGCTCAAGGCCAGGTTGGACACAGGGGCTTGGAGCAAGCTGCTCCAGTGGAAGGGGTCCCTGCCCTGGCAGGGGTTGGAGCTGGAGGAGCTCTAAGCTCCCTTCCCACCCAACCCACTCTGTGACTCCTCCACAGGAGGCAGCGGGGCCAGGCTGGGAGCTGGTGAGGGGGCAGCGCAAGGGCTGTGGTGTGGCCCCGTCTGGGCTGCAGCAGCAGCAGGGCCCCAGCCCCTCACCTCCGGGTGCTTCTTGCGGGCCTTGCGCTCTTTCACCACCTTGGCTTTCTTGGCCGGTTTCTTGTCGTCGCGGTCGCTGTCGCCGTCACCGCTCGAGGACGTGGCCGAGGCGTTGCTGTCGAACCTGTGGGGCCCAGCACAGCGCTGGGGCTGCAGCAGCACCGGGGGCACCAGGCCCTGCCCTCAGCTCCCCCCCCTCCGGCAGGCAGTGAGCAGGAGCCTTCCGGCGCCGGAGCTGCTGCGCTGGTGCTGAGCAGCCCCCGGGGATCCTCCTTCCAGGAACACGGCTCCATCCCCACCTCCTGCACGGTTTCGGCTCCCCCAGCTCCTCCCCCCGGCTGGACCCGCTCCTGCAGCACACACGGTGCTGTGTGGTGCTGTGTGTTGGTGCTGTGCTGTGTGTTGGTGCTGTGTGGTGCTGTGCTGTGTGTTGGTGCTGTGCTGTGCTGTGCGGTGCTGTGTGTTGGTGCCGTGCTGTGCAGTGCAGTGCTGTGTGGTGCAGTGCTGTGCAGTGCTGTGTGTTGGTGCTGTGCTGTGTGTTGGTGCTGTGCTGTGTGTTGGTGCTGTGCTGTGCTGTGCAGTGCTGTGTGTTGGTGCTGTGCTGTGTGTTGGTGCTGTGCTGTGTGTTGGTGCTGTGCTGTGCTGTGCGGTGCTGTGTGTTGGTGCCGTGCTGTGCAGTGCAGTGCTGTGTGGTGCAGTGCTGTGTGGTGCTGTGCAGTGCTGTGTGGTGCAGTGCTGTGTGTTGGTGCTGTGCAGTGCGGTGCTGTGTGTTGGTGCTGTGCAGTGCGGTGCTGTGTGTTGGTGCTGTGCTGTGCAGTGCTGTGTGTTGGTGCAGTGCTGTGCAGTGCTGTGTGTTGGTGCTGTGCAGTGTGTTAGTGCTGTGCTATGCGGTGCTGTGTGGTGGTGCTGTGCTGCGCAGTGCAGTGCTGTGTGGTGCTGTGCTGTGCATTGGTGCTGTGCATTGGTGCTGTGCTCTGCTCTGCTCCCGGTGCAGCGCATCCTCTCACCCTCCCTCCCCCAGCTCAGAGCTGCATCCCAGCCTCATCCCTGCCTCCTCCCACTGCTCTCTCTGCTCTGGCTGCTGACGCCTCAGCAGGAGCCATCCGATGCCCTGAGTGCTGCTGCAACCCTTGAGAGCCCTCTCATGTCATTAGGATAGAGCGAGCCCACACTCTGAGGCCCAGGGGTGTGTAAAGTGATGCCAGCTGCAGCATCCCCAGCGCTCGCAGCCCCACACAGCACCTTCCAGAAGCTTCCCCCACAGGAGACCTGCCCAGCCCCTACTCACTCTTCAGCCACATCATCATCCTCTTCCCCGGGGTTGAAGGACTCATCTGGAAGCAGAGCACAGGGTCAGCTCCCAGCTTCCCCCCAGCCGAGCACCCAGAGCCCAGCGCCCCTCACCCGTCTCC